TTTAATCAATCGTGCGTTGAGTAACTTAGCGTTGTCGTAACACAACAATGAAGTGAAGATGCAAAGTGTCCTTACAAAACGTCTTGATAAAAATAGCCGTTTCGCATTTTCATTTATTTTCCGGACAGACTATTTACTCCTAACATGCAATATTTATGCTTTAATTCACTTAAAGTAGAATGATGGGACTAATTACCCTGCTACCAAAGTTAAGCCCGAGTTTAAAATTAAAATTTTTTTGGCATGTTCATGAAGATTGAACGTTACGGTTTTGACCTACATATTCGTTGCAAAAGCAATTTAAAAATCAGTAAGTCGCCTTTGAAAACGTAGTGAAACAAAAAACAAATACATTGTGAAAAATTACGATCCACCTTTGCAAAGGAACTAAATTGATAAAAGACAAGGATATCCTGCAAAACCAAGAATTCCAGAACAACAACACACTAAAGCAAACAAACCGATCGCAAGCTAGTTGATAGTTGATTTTTTATTTATGGCACCGGTCAAAATTCGCTCGCTCCAAGTTTGAGAATTGAACATTATGACATTACTATTTGATCATGCCGTACAGGGAAATATGTCGCTCAGCCTCAATACATTTTCCCATACAGGCTTAAATGCCCGTATATAACATAGCTACGTATATTTTGCAAATGTTCCCCAACTGTCTTACAACAGATGAGCTAAACAAGCAGGAAAAACGCCAAAAAACTAACCTCATTGCTACAGGGACAGCATTTACTTCCACTTCCTTCTCTTTAATTTCCTCTAAAAATCTGCGACGATTGTCCATGTTAAAATCAGCGTCACCATCTAAACCCCTGCTTGGGCTACATGCAAAGGTCTGCTCCAGTCTCCTACATGGCTCGACAAACCTGCTTTCGAATGGAAAATTCATCTCCATTAACGGCTTACGAAGTGTGCCCGACGGGCAAACGGTCCAACGACGTTGCTTACGCTCAGAAAATTATCAAAGTGAAATACTATATGAGTATATTTTCCCTGAAATGGTGCGCGTTTTGTGCTGTTATCGGGCAAATTTTAAAAAGCAAAATTCTGAATTTTATAGACATGCTCGTGCGCAGATATGCACGAGAGTGAATTCCGTTCAGAAATTTCGCAAAATTCTGTTATTTTAGTGACCGATGTTAGTATATCTTGATGATGATAAAAAGTTTTTTCAAAGCCATTGGTATTTCGTGTGGGACTTTGTATTCTACAATAAGTAGTTGATGCTGCCATGCAATTGGCTCATGTTGTTGGTATTCAAAGTACTGCAACTTAAGTAAAATGGAGCCAGAGACTTGGCAGTAGTTTGAGCTTTTTTGTTTGCAGCGCCTGCGGCGTCTTTAACACAGAATCTTCAAACAGTTTTTCGTTGCGAACTCATAAGCTAACGCCACATGCATGTGGTGTTGATATAAAGAAAAATTCTTGATGAATTATCGAGTATCTTACTGAATTTCCTATTGGTCGCATTAAAATTTGGCATTTGTTGTAATTCCAGGCCACAACCCACCACCATTGATTCACCAATCATAACTTGATGCCAGCCAATTAGCATGGTGTTTTTCAAACCTGTATTAAACGCATGACCTAGGAAAGTGACTGCTTAATGGAGATGTCTACTTGATAGAGATTTCATTGCTACAAAATTGCTATTTGAGATTAAATTTACGTCTTTACAAAGTGTCCGCTCAATACAGGATGTCCGCTTAATACAGGTTTCAGTCTATACAAGATTTCCAAAAATCGACGTGCCATTTGAATTTTTAATGCAAACCGCTTGATATAACTTACTTGTTTTACATCATTTTCGTTTGGTTTCGAAGTACACAGGATGTTTGTGACTTTCATAAGCTTGATTTTCGTCTCCTCCTTTAACGAAAATGTAAGCAATTGTCTCCGACCTTCACAAACACGTAAGAATAGCAGGCTGTCCAAAATTGCGGTAACGAAACCTGGGTTACGGTGGCGTTACAGCAAAGATATAGTTTTGCGCTAACCTAATCTGGAGATTTTAAAATAATTCGAGCTTGTTAGAGCAATAAAAAATCGCATTGATATTTTCTAGTCAGTGGTGAAGACATGTAGTTGCAGGTAATTGTAAACTCAAGACATGTTGTTACCGTATAATTGTAGACTGTATATGTTTGAATCAGCATGTTTGTCTTGAAAATTAGTTCATCATTGTTTTGAATATTCAATAAACTTTTTGTTATGTTTACTTTTCAACGGCATTAAGGTACTAAATTCCTTTACAGTTTATAAAACACCTTCACAAAACATTGCCAAACTTTTAAAATTGTTGATGGTTTAGATATGGTACGTCCATCATGCACTTTTAACAATGAAATATACGTGGAAAATTTGTGTGACCCAAATTGGCTTTTTCCGCAACATTAAATTTTGAACAGGCTGAATGAAGGTCGCTTGCTTGTTTCTACACACGTTACATCAACAGAATTATCTCGCGAAAGCTTACAGCAATCTTTCTCTGTTCTTCAAGTTCTTTTTTGAATCTAAAAAAAGGCTAACAAATTCAACCTTCCAACCCGAACGGTATGAATCGAGAGATTGCGTTCGGCCTTTAAAAAAAAAAAGGTGTGAAAAATTTATCATTCCTATTTGTTGAAAATGGCAATTGACTGGCCTGCCATTATGGTTATTACGTGCTTCAGAAGATATGCGTGGCATAAAAAATTTCAATCAAGTGGCCTTCTTCAGCATATTCCTTTTTTGTAAAAAAAACCTAGTATTATAATATTGCAGCAACGAGAAAATTGCAGTCATATATACTAATCTGACTAACGAATGTTACTACTAACCCCCATCGGAAAAGCACGAAGATACAAAAAGAGCAAAATCAGGAAAAATATTTTCATAATCACGAAAAGTCTTTATGAAGCAAAATTTTACCATGCAATTTTTTGAGTGTATTGCACAGAACCGTTAAAACGACTTAATTTCTTCATGAATAGATTATTTTACTTCTTTCTTGGGATATTTAATATTATTTATCATGCGAAAACATCACAGTCACATCACATTGCACGATAAAATTTTAAAGACCACCAATTTTTCGCATCGTTAAAACATTTAATTCCCATGTACAACCTTTTAATGAATAAATTAGTAGATGAATATGTGCATAGATAACAAAGTTTTATATTTCACAAGACATTGTAGACAGTAATTTACTATTTTACAAATCTTAATTATGTCTTGTGATGTCAGCGATGTTTTTGCATATTTGCTAAAATTACATATCTCGATAAAGAAATGAAACAAAATAATTTCACTGAAGAAGTTGTTAAGTCATTTTAAATGCTCTTTGCCATGCAATCGTAAAACAATGAGGTAAAAATTGGTTTCATTAGTACTATTGTTATTATTATTGTTATCAATATTGTTATGCTCGCGTGAATATGATGTGGAGCGAAAACTGACTTGAAGATATAACTTATCGATAAAGGTTTAAATCTTACTTTGTCCTTCTCCATCTGGAGTTCCATCTCTCTTTGAAGTGATTCTTCTCGTCCTTTAGTCTGTGAAAAAGCAATACGAATCACGCGTTATGCAACTACTTGCAAGGGATTTATCAGCAAAATGAGGGAATTTGTCTTGTTTATCGTTTGAGCTAAGGGGCTGTTCACATGAGTCCGCGGCAGCCGGGATTTAGCGAAGCGTTAAATTATTTTAGCAAGTGGAAAAGATTAAATACTTCACAACAAAAAACTTATTGGAGCAATTTCTCTATACTGACTTTGCAAATACACAAAACCTTTAAATTTAAAACAAATAGTTTAGCCTGATTTGAATATGTCCACTAAAATGACTTATGACGCTGAAGGAAAGGCGGTAAGTTTTCCGCTTGAAGTTTTTGCTTCCTTCAATGACTCAAAATCATTTCACGCCTCGATGAATCCCGGTTATCGGGCTCATGTGAACAGCTTCTAAATTTAGCGCGTTTTCAAAAGTGTTCAGGCTTCTCTCTACACGGCAGGGCTCAAAAAATCGCCTGGTCGACGTCCCCGGGCAACCAAACATTTGCGTCGTGCAGCTAAAATCACTTAACAAATAACCCTACAAATCCACTGTTCATCTTTTATTCACTTAATATGCATACCATGGGCAAGTTAAAAATGATCTCCGGCAAGCAAGTTTTCCGTGTTGCCTGCCTTAAAGGCAACCAAATGTTTCAGAATTTTGCAGGCAGCCAATGATTCCTATCGAACATTTTAAAAATTGAACTTAAACTATCAGCTTTGCAACTGTACATCAACTCAGGAAAGGGCAGATATTATGCGTAAATAGCATAAGTCTTGCAACCTTTCAAGGTGGCGGCTAGCCTCTCTGGTAACTATAGAACTTTGGCAGAGTCAGATATCTAGTAGTTTGCGTACTAGGTCTTCCCCGTGGTCTTGAAATTTCCGGGTTGGCATCCGGCGGGGAATAACCGTGCTTCATGGGCAGAGGGAGCTCTTCAGCCTTGGTCGGCAGTCCTTCTAGTGATGGTGACACGATAAAACATTCTTGATAGCCTTAGCGTAGCATCAAGTATTCAGCTATGACAAGATTATAAACTACACCAAACTGAGTATTCACAACGACGTGAATGGGGCTAGAACTTCTGGTGAAGGTCGCACGTCCGGCAGGTGTCCCATTGGTCAGCAGGGTGGGCCCGGTCGTCATAATGCTACTGCAGAAAACCCCAGGGAAACGCAATGCAAGTTAGTATCTTGTAGAAAACGTACCATTATCAGCACTTTCAACACCAGAACATTGAATCCTCCATCTCGTCTTAGTGAACTTGTAAAAAGTGTAAAGGAAAAGAACATAGATATTATTGCTATTCAAGAACATCGATTCTTCCACCCTGACACAAACATTGAGTATCAGAAAATAGAAGACTATCATGTCGTTACAGCATCATCTTGGAAGAATTCTGTCAACTCATCTGTTGGAGGTGTAGGCTTCCTATTTTCCCAGCAGCTATGGAAAATGTATTGCACATAGAAAAGATATCTCCCAGGATTACTATTGCTGACTTTAAAGGCAACCCAACCACTACAGTCATATTTTGCTATAGTCCCCACAACAGTAGCAGTGAAGAGGAACTGAATGATTTTTACAGCACTTTGCGTTCTTCCTTGGAGCAAGTTCCTGCTCACAACTTTCTCTTAGTCGCAGGGGACTTCAACGCTAAACTTGGAGCAGATGATGCCAAATTTACCTTTCACTTAGAAACCAATCGCAACGGAGAGCATCTGGTAGACCTAGCTGAAGAATTTAGTCTCTTCGCAGCTAACACTAGATTTAATAAAAATAAGAACCATCTATGGACCTTCGAGTATCCAAATGGCAGCAGAACCCAACTAGACTTTATTATGGTCCGTAAAAAGTGGCGTAACAGTGTCAAAGACTACAGAGCATATTCATCTTTCTCCTCTGTTGGATGTGATCATAGAATCGTCTCTGCCTCCATCAAACTTAGTTTAACAGTTTCGAAGAAAACAACTGTAGATCCAATGAAGTCAATTGACTGGAAGTCAGTTCAGAGGGACAAGGACTCATCAACTCAGCACTCTGTAAACGTGTTTAACAGATTCCAAGAACTCACTCAGTCTAACGCAGAAGTTTCATTAGATTCAACCAACATTGACCTGATCTACGGAAATCTGATTAAGGCAAATGAGAAGGTTGCACTATCTACACTCCCCAAAAAGCACAAGTCACAAAAGAAACCAGTAAGTTTAGATTCAAAAGTTGTTGATGCTCGTGAGAAGCTCAAACAAATCATATCAACCGATCACTGCGACCCTTCTCAGAGTAACAAAAAGAATATTGCAGAAGCCAAGAAGTCCCTCGACCTAGCTTATCTAGAGGTAGAAGAAGCTTACATCAAAGGAGAAATAGCCAAAACTTCTCATCTTCATATCAACCAGCAACACTCTGCAGCCTGGAAGAACATAAGGCAACTAGCGGGAAAAGGCTCACAACCCCCACCTTCAGTCAAAGGTGGCAGCCGAGAACAACGACTTGCTAACTGGCACTCTCATTTTAAACGCCTCTTGGGCAGTCCCGCAAGTCTTCCAGATAATATGTCACTTCCGAAAGTTCGAGTCAGTCAAACCTTAAATATATCAACAGGCCTTTTTACAAGTGCAGAGTCAAGATACCTGCTATCCTCTGGAAAGACCCAATCTTTCATCAATTACTTCTTGATCTCTGCAATTATGCAAAGACCAGCCATATTTCACCAACCATCTGGTTAAGATCACAAATCATTCCCATACACAAAAAAGGTGATTTGACGTTGCCAACTAAGTATCGCTGTATCTCCTTGCTTCCTATAGCTGCAAACATCTATCATAAGCTTCTTTTGAACCGAATCCGCTCTGAAGTTGAACCTATTCTGCGCAAAAATCAAAATGGCTTCCGCCCAGGCCGATCCACTCTTGGGCAAATTCTCACATTGCGTAGAATAATTGAGGAAATCACTTTTTGCAATAAAACTGCAGCTCTCATCTTTGTAGACTTCAATAAAGCCTTTGACTCAGTTAACCGCGATACCATGTTTGAAATTCTTGAACTCTATGGCATACCAGGAGAAATCATCGATGCTATCAAAGTATTGTATACTAACACACAAGCAACTGTCCTTACCCCAGATGGTGAAACAAATCCTTTTGATATCCTGGCTGGCATTCTCCAAGGTGACACACTGGCACCATTCCTTTTTATAATTGTGATAGACTACATCATGCGTGTGTCAGTAGATTCTATCAATGAAAAGGGCCTGAAGTATCAGCCTAGAAAAAGCTGACGCTACCCTGCATACTACGTCACTGATGCAGATATTGCTGATGACATTGCATTGCTGTCTGACAATCTCCAAGGTGCCCAATCTCTCCTTTCTTCTCTTGAGTCAGCAGCCAACTGTGCAGGTCTTCATCTCAATGAAAACAAGACTGAATTTTTGCCAGTTAACATCCGCAACAATCAGGAGATCAAAACACTGTCAGAAAATATTCTGAATTGTGTTGAAGACTACAAGTATCTAGGATCACACATAAAGAACTCAGAGAAAGACTTAAACATCAGAAAAGGTATTGCATGGACTGCCTGCAACAAATTGGATAAGATCTGGAAATCCAACCTTCATCGGAAATTTAAAATCCAAATTTTTCGAGTTCTTGTTGAGCCCATCTTACTGTACGGTTCTGAGACTTGGACTATTTCAGCCGAACAACAGCAGCATTTAGATGGATGTTATACACGTCTCTTAAGAAGAGTCCTCAATCTCTCTTGGCAAAACCACCCAACTTTAGAAACAATATATGGAGACCTACCAAGAGTATCAAACTTAGTTTGTAAGAGACGTGTTCAGTTCGCAGGCCATTGTGCACGTTCAACTGATGAACTAGTGTCATCATTTGTACTTTGGAGACACCCATCATCTGAGAATAGATCACGCAAGTTAACCTTTCCAGATAGGATAAGACGAGACACAACAATTCCTAAGGAAAATCTGTTAGCAGCTATGAAAGATAGAGAATACTGGAAAGATGTGGTTAGTACAATCTCGGCTGAGGCCGCAGGATGATGATGATGACTAGGTCATTGTACACAGCACATAAAGACACAAACTTTGCGACTGCTGCATTGATACACGTTTTGAAATTGATGCTTGCTTAAAATCCGTGATGTATCTTTTCGTGTGTGCCGATGAATTTTTGCGTAATATCTGCGTTTGTATTCAAATAAAATACACCCTACGATGAATACTCCACTGATAACCTTCATACCATATTTTAGCATGACTTTATTCCTTAGTGACCAAGGTTACACTTAAGGATGTTAATGACCATTTATCGATGACATCATACCTGCTCTAACTCGTGTTTTAAACGTTTGATTTGTCTACGACAGCGCTTTAACATGGTACCATCGTCCAACACCTGCAAAGTCGATAAAATCAAATGTCAAAATTGAAAGGATTGTTTCAACAACCAACGTGACCATATATGCATGTTTTTATATTAGATCTGGCCGAATCAGCTTAAATACTCAGCCCGTTCTGAATTTCGCAACTAGTAGAAGGCACAGTCTAAGCTCATCAGACAAAATACAGCATAAAAATGGCCTGTAGAATGTTTGCAGGGGTCGCCATGTTGGGGGGAAAACCCATTTATTTAGTGAAAAGAATTGATATTAATTTCATACTCTGTTGGGCACTTTAATGTACTCTCCCCCCAACATGGCCACTTTGACGTCACATGCCCACACTCTATATCGTCACGCTGGGTTTTACTGAGCACGCAAATCTACATGAACGGCACGTGATCGAGGCCTCGTCCCACAATACGTTTTCCCTTTTCACTCAAGTCTACAATCTCGAAATGTTATAAACGCCCATCACCTTCGAATTCAGATTTTCCGAGGAACTGAATGCATGCACTATTCTTCATTCGGCTCATAGAAATGTTGCTGGACACAAATATGGCACAATTCATTGATTGAGAACCATAAATCTTCGCACATCAAATAAAACGTAATCAATAACAATCAAACCACCACAATCCCTTCGCAAAACTGAACTCTGATGCTTTATCTGTTGAAGAGATATATGTAAGGCACACACTGACACACAAACATAGTTATTTCTTCACATCATTTCCGAAATCATTTCGCCATAGCAAGTATCTAACGAAACATTACCTCGTTCACTTCCGGATTATTTTTTATTCGTTTGGCTCGGCTCGCGAACTAAAAAAAGAAACAAGCTGTCTTCATCAAAAAAGTTCTCGGGGAACTACTACATTCTTAGAAGTGTAACAAGCTCTAGTTTAGCATTATGGAGCTCAAAAGACGGAAAAGGCAAAATCAATTCTCACATTTCTTTTTAATAAAAGCCAAAAATTAAGTTCAAACCAGGCAAGCTCCATAAATCTAAAACATTGAATCAGGCCAGAAACCTGATGATGAAAAAATATCTGTAATCGCTGATATGCCCATGCCTGAGTGAAAGAAAGAGCTGCAAAGATTTTTTAAACTGAATAACATCTTTTTAAATTTTATTCCTAGCCAATCAAGCATTGATGGTAGCCCTTTAATGAAACGCTATAAAAAGAGTCTGTTTGGGTGCGTTCTTATATATATTTCGATGCAGTAGAGAAATTAAAAATTGTCTTATCAAGTCAACAAGTCTTAAAATTCTTGATCCTGCCAAGCTTGTCAAAATACAAGCTGATGGTTCTAAGGATGGTCTTGATGTTTATTTGGTTGTTGCTGGAACGTCATGCCGTCGCGTAGCCATTACAGTCATTGACCTCTGCTGATGCTGAAATTAAGATGGAGCTGGTAGCTGTTATGTTTAGATGTGAGAAATTCCATTGCTATGTGTATGGCAGACCTGTAACTGTTCACAAGCCTCATGGCTCAATCATAAGGAAACCGTTAGCACTAGTACTTCCACGCTCCAAATATTGTTGCTGAGGCTCCAACGATATGAGATCATAATCAAATACATTCCAGGCAAGTAGCTACATGCATGTGGCTGATGCGCCTATGCATGCATGTCTATCAGAAAGCCTTACAAATGACGAAGTGAATGCTGATGCTGGGAAAGCAATTCAGTATTGATGATAATTTACCAAAGACTGCCAAAAAGCTACAGGAAATGAAGTTGTGAGCACACAGGATGATATCCTGAAGCAGTTATCAAACTTTGTTGAAAACTGCAGGCCATTTTATATAGCTAACATGCCGCCAAATTCTTATTCATTATTAAAAACTTAAAGCTGACATGCATGAAGTCAATGGTTTGTTGTTCCATGGCCTGAAGTTAATTATGGCAGAGAAACTAAAACCCAATAACATTAGCATAGTATTTGTGAAAGCTACTTGGGTATGGAAAAGTTTAAAACGAAAGTTTTAGAGCTGTAGTACAAAGGGCTGGTATGTCTTCAGACACTTAATAAATGGTTTTCAAATGCTCGATGTATTTGAAGTGTCACAGATATAATCAGAAGTAGACCCTGAAACCCATGTTATTACTGAAAGAGGATAGAAGAAATTGGGAGCGAATAAATTTGTATATATTTCAAAACCTTACTTAGTAATTTTGGACTCTTACTCAAATAGTAACATAGTTACATCGGGATATAAGCAGTTGTTTTCGTGTTGTAGTAAGTTGTCATTTTGCGCAATAGCATTTCATGAAATGTAATTGAAAATGTTTCGTTGAGAGTAGTGATATGGCTATGGTGACCAAAGCAATGTTAAATTCACTTTGGTCGTTTTAGACAAACAAACACAGACGCAAACGTGCAAGTGGCATGATTTTGACGTGCAAGTGGTATGTTCCACATAAAACTACTATTTCCTGTTCTATACTGCTAACCTTAGTCCAACTGGATTGGCCAATACTGCGACCACTTGTGGGTTTTATGATCTTCGCTCGGGTGTTCTTGATTGCCGCTGCACATGCGCAACTAACAGTTATGCTACTGTAAAATGTGTTGGAGGCATGTCGGAAGCCGTGTCAAACATTGAGTGTCAGTTGTTATCATAGGTAAACATTAAATATACAAGCAATCACAAAGAATACTGTTTTTGACTTTTGTCGCTTTCTCTGGAATATATCACACGAAATTTTTATAACGATTGCGACTTCTTAGTGAAAATTCGTAATACAAAGCTTTATTTGCAACATATATGTTGTGCGTTTAGACTTTGAGTAAATAAAAGTTCTATTTTACAATTTCAGTAATTAATCTTTTTATTTATATGTTTGGTATTTGGATTGCTCAATTTTGCTTTCTAGTCGAAAGTTTACGTCAATCTACTTAAACTTGTACTGTGTATGTCCCAAATAAAATATTGCATTGCAGAATTCAAAACAAAAAAAATACTTGCATTCGTCTGCGTTCTAAGATCAAATAAAACTTATCTGCAATCGCCACAGAATCGTCGGAGGCATAGCCAATGTTGTGAGTAAATATTAAGTACAAAATAACACTGGTAAAACTCAATCACAATTAATAAGTAAATCTTGTTCATGCGAACGGTACGCAAACTCTTTTTTCGTATTTGGCACAGCTTAATACTTTGATTGTATTTTTTACATATAGCTCAGTTGACTCTGATCACAGTGGTCTTTCATAAAAGAGAAAATGTTGTCTGTGCTGATTTACGAAGATCTATCGTTATTCAAGTGTCGAATGTATGTCATAAATTTGTTTTGAACAATGATTTTGAAAGATAAGTTATTGTAGATAATGTAGTATTCATGGAAAACGTGATTTTCTTAAAAATGATGTGTTTATTGTTAAAACTGGCGAGACATCTTAGGGGCTTAACAGGCAATCTAAGCAGGAACCGAAAGGGACTGTCACCTGGTCATAACGTGATTTTCTTAAAAATGATGTGTTTATTGTTAAAACTGGCGAGACATCTTAGGGGCTTAACAGGCAATCTAAGCAGGAACCGAAAGGGACTGTCACCTGGTCATATATAAACAGTTAGCACGAAAACACATAATTCAAACAAGTTTTTCTTAAGTAAGATTGAACATTTAGCTATATTATCAAAATTACAGTCACTACTTCATTGTGTGACGACAAATTTAACTGGCTACTCACATGTACCAATTGCGTACAAATACCCAATGCATTGCATACCCAATGACCGCGCATATTTCTTGAGTGGTCAATTTTTATATATTGAATAAATTTTTCTTGATAGTCCTACTACGCAAATTTCAACTATTGCTTTTTGTCCAGTTTGCATTTCATTGAGTCTACTTTTGTTTACAAATCACACAATTAAAGTGTGGTATATCATACATTTAAATTAAACAATTTCAAGTTCCAATGTTGTGAGTGATTTATCGGGATAACACTAATGAAAAAACATTTAGATTTTTGTCATGACGCCTAAGTCAAATGAAGTATATTTCTCTGTCACTGTTTTCAATATCAGTTATGTAAATTGTTTTCATTGCATTATTAATATTTAAGACACACGATATTATGTTATACTGTTTGAATTGCAAATGCCGTAAATTTACGCATTCAAACGTTGTTTTATATTCGTCAAAGTAAAGTATTTTTATCAATGAACTTTTTTTAAAGTGATTGAAATTTAAAATCGTCAATTTATGTTACCAAGTCTAACAAAAACCAGTTAAACAATGAGCTTTAAGTCAGAAAGTAATTATCACTTTTCTAACTCACCACACCTGCATGTTTAAACAATTAATCATTTTAATGAATCTCACAACTCTTTTAAAATAATAACATAGTGATTCACAACAGTCGTAAATATGTTTGTAGCATCATGTGTAATAACACATCTCAGCAGTTATAAAGCAAGTTTTAGCTTGTCAATTTAGTCTAATGTTCCATTTGTAATAGTTTTAAAACATAATTATTGCGTGTCCCATCTCCTACTTCAAATATCGAGTTAAAGATGGACATTTTATTTGGAGTATGTTCTGTTTCATTAAGTTATTTTAATTTATGCGTTTGCAATTCTTTGTAAATCGCATTTAAATAATTGCATGTACATGTCCTTTGAAAAGATTCCCCATTTTTTTCACGACTTGAACAAACACCTGCTTTCTCATCTGCTTAAGTTTGCATTTTCAACTTCGTGTGACGCTTCTATATAAAGTTGCAAAAATGTCATATACTGCCATTTGTTAACTTCTAACAGAAACAGATAGAAAACAGTGCAACATGGCAAATAAAAGACATCCACTCATTGTTGACCTTACTTTTCCAATTGCTATATTTGGCATCATTGGCAACTCTCTTGTCATCATCTCGATATTACAACGACGACGCCTTTTGACAAGCAACTACTACTTTGTTGTTCTACATCTTGCCATTTGCGACCTTATTTGGCTGATTCAACATTCTGCGCAATTATTGACAAAACTTTTAATGACAGGCATTTCTTTTGATGAAACATTTTGCTTATTTGTCAAAACGGGTTACATGTTTGCTGAAGCAGGAGCCTTTTTGATGTTGATTATAGCATTTCTACGTTATCGCGCCACAGCATATCCTTTCAAGCATCCCATCAGTAAACGAAAATTAAAAGTTAGTTGTACCATGGCTTACCTTGCATCGTTTCTATTTGGCTACGCATTGTTTATTCCATCTTGTGTTGGCTATGATGATTATTTTGTCATTGTAAAAATTCAACATAATGTTGTTGTATTAGGTTGCATTCTAGTCACTACAGTTAATGCAGCGATTTATTATAAAATTGGTCGAGTACTTTATAATCAAAAAAACAATTTTCCAATTTTACATGAGCAAAAGTCTTCGTTCTACAAACAAAGATATTACCGAAATCGCAAAATTTTTTATATTTGTCTTTTAACAGTCATCTTCTTTGCAATTGGAAATATTGCTGTCGCCATTGCGTTCTTTGTTCAAATGAGCAGTTATTATTCATCGTCATTATTTTATGACATTGCTGTACTGCTTAGAATTTTTACTACACACGCCGTTAATCCCATTGTCTATGGACTGTTGGACAAAAAACTTTTGATCTTTTGGAGAAACTGTAAAAAAAAGAGAAAGAATGCTATGCTGGAAGCTCCCGTTGAAAGGAACTGGTAATATTTTTGGTGTCTCCGCCTTTAGTTACTTATAAAATGGCTGGTGCACTTGCCTTTCCAATTTAGTTCGAAAAAAATTCTCCAATGCGGGTAAAGATTTACTTACAAAAAAGTCTGTACACAGCAAAACCGTAGCTAGTTTGCACTGAAGTTAAATTAGAGATTTTACCAGCGTCTACATATTCTTCATACTAGACTTGATATTTGTTTAAATTGTAGGATTCATAGCGTGAGTAAATTTTACTCTCCATGGAAGTGAACTAAGTCATCTAGGCTATTTCCCAAATTTTTTTGTTATAAAAGTAAAGAAATAAACTTGTATTTACTGTTTGTTCAATCCGTAATGAAAAAAAGAAATAATAAAGATGGCAATGAATGCCCAGCAAAAGAAATCTTCCCAAAGCTTTCCATTACTCCGGTACCCGTAGGGTATGCGGAGTTCTAAATTCGCCTTTGTTTTTTAAATTCGCCTTTGAGTTCTAAATTCGCCTTTGTTTTAGTGTCGTAAATTAGCAAATCCATAGATAGCCCACTCCTCGCGCATAACAATTATCAACATTAGCTATTCAGTATTACTAAATTGCTATAAGTAATGGAAATTTTGGGACAATGCGCCAAAGTCTTTTAAAATTTACGATTATGTTTCATCAGAATGCTTACGAACTACGATAATACCACAAGACAAAGTATATTCTGCAATACTGGCTGCATCACAGTACCGATAAACTCGCCAGCTACAGTCGAAAGCATTATATTAATCCGTAAAAGTATGCGTATTTACCTCAAGTTCAAACACTCGGTAAGATGACAAATAATTGTATTTGGTTAGCAGAGGCTCCAAAGTTTCGTTTGTATAATTTTTGATATGTTGCTGGGTTGCGTTAATATGTATGAGCTAAGAAATATTTAATACGCGACGTTTGAATAGTCGAAGTAAACAAAATAGATAGATAGATAGATAGATGATTTATTTCTTAAAACTGGCAGCCGTATTGCTGAAATACGTTTAAGATTACATATAATACATACATAAATAAATTAATTAAATTACATCTTCAATGAGTTATATGTTATAAAACTATTTCTAAAACGTTTGCTATTAAAGTTGGTATTAAATGAAGAGTGAGTCCTAAGTTCCATAGTTGAACGTTCTAAACGAGGAGGTAAAATGTCATGAAGCTTATGTGAGGAATCTGCTACTATCTTCTGAAACAACGCTGTTGTTATATCATTCCTCCTTTCGCTAAGGCGTTGTAAATTAGTAAACTGCAGAGCGTTTTCATATTCTTGATGAGGCAGGATTATTTTTAATGCTCGCTTTTGGACTGACTCTAGGTCATCTGACAAATACAATGTCAGACTATTGTGGAACACTGGGCAAGCATACTCCAAGATTGGTCTTATACACGTTTTGTAAAATTGGAGCAATTCCTTGACTTCGATATTTGCTCGTTTTAGTTGAATAAGATAATAGAGGCGTTTACGGCATTTCTTAATTATTTCATTTACGTGGATGTTCCACTTAAGGCTACTTGCTATAAACAATCCCAAAACTTTCACGTGTTGGACAATATCCAGTGTAATGTTATTGATGGTAATTGGTTAAAGGTCATTGGTATTAGATCCAAAACAAATTCGCATCTCTTTATATTTGGTTTCATTTAACTGGAACTTATCACACGAGTTGCTGTTCGCTAATGTATCCATTTGGTTTTGTAAGTTACTTATTTGATCTTTCTCAATTACTTCACTAACAGTGGTATCGTCCACGAATTTCCACATTTCATTATTTGGTAACTTGAGATCGTTAATCATTATCAAAAATAGCAAAGGCCCCCATTTTGTGCCCTGCGGAACGCCTGCAGGTACGAGTTCCCACTCTGAAAAGCAATCGAATTTCAGCTTTACTCTTTGTTTCCTGAAGGAGAGGAAATCCATAATCCGGAATACCATTTCTGGGTAGAACCCATTTCGGTATATCAAATGAACGTAGTTTTTCAACCAATAAGTTATGATCAGTTAGATCAAAAGCTTTCTTGAAATCCAATAACAGCACACGAATGGCCGCCCCGTTACCATCAGTTGCTTTATTCCACGACTTTAACATACTAAGTAAATCTATAGTTGTGCTTGGATTTGGAATTGCCCCATACTGATTAGAGTCTATCTTCTTAAGTACAGCTGGTTTGACATAATTTTCCGCAACAAACTCCTCGACTACTTTTGATACAATCGCAGTAAGTGATATAGGCCTTAAGTGTTTATTAATATCTCGTACAGGTTTCTGCTTTGGAATCGGTATAATATTTGCTTTTCTCCATGATTCTGGTAACCGGGCCTCTTTAAAGAAGCTGTTTATAATATCTGCCACGGGAGCGGCTAATAAATCAGCATTCTCTTTTAGAACCCAGGCGGGAATACCGTCTGGGCCAGTTGCTTTCCTTGAGTTAAGAGCTGACAACATCTTGAAAGCAGTAAACTCAGTGACAGGCAACAACCTCGGGAAATCATCATTCTCATTATCAAAGCATAAATGTTGGGGCAGTGGGTTAAAACCTTTCATGGGTGTTAGAAAGGATTCGTTGATCATGTTTGCAAGTTGCTCAGGAAAATGATCAGAGGATGTTAGTGCATTATCAATATTTTGCAAGGTTGAAATCATATCTTCCTGTGAAGAAACCGACGGTGAAATACCAATCAACGTTTTGATCTCCTTCCACCAACTTGCAGATGAACACGATTTTAAATGTTCTACTTTGTTTTGGTAAAAACGTTTCCGAGAAGATTTTCTTTCTCGGTTTACTTGGTTTCTTAATTTCTTGAAAGAGTCAAGGTCTTTTTGTGCAAAAGCTTTTTCCCTTCGGCGGATCAGTTGTTTTAGCGATTTGGTCATCCAAGGAGGCTCGTTATTGATCAGCACCTCCTTTTTTGTGGGGAGTAGGAAATCAAGACCAAAGTTAATGATGAGCTCTAACGTTTTCATTTTGTCGTCACTATTTCTCATTTTGTCGTCACTATTTCTTCCTACCCACTGTTTGACATTAACTTCTTCTAAATATTTACCAAAGGCCGAACGTTTAGATGGTCGCAAATCCCTTGACATTACCACTACTTTAGTCCCAGAGTTTTCAGATCTTTTCAATGGTTGCACTTCTACGGTGACATGATCGGATAGTCCAAAGGGAGGACGTTTAATTGG